TAATGCTTTTGATGAATTTGAGTTCTCAGCTATTACATTTTTCATGAAGTACTTATGGAATAATTTTGAATCAACAAATCATGAATCAGTTTGTTGCATAATTAGTTTTATAAACTAATGCTGTAAGCTATTTTCACTTCAGTAAACAAAGTAAATAATTTATTAACTGCTAACCTTGACCGAACTATTGAAGTGGATACGATATTAGATAGTATAATATCATAATGTAGCAAAATTATTAGATTATCGATTAATTATTAGCCAAGTTCAATGAAAATCCTATATACTATACATCTTTACTACCAAAGGTACCCTGCTAAAATAATTTGTTAGATCCATCTTGTTTAAAATCTTTACGTACTTAAGTAACAAAATTCCTATTAAAGCATTCCTCTTGTTGGGTTATCTGGACATTATACTTTGCATTAGTCTTCTACAATTGCCGGTAGTGATTATGCTTTCGCTGTAGTCCTATAAAAATGAGTATCGTAGTAAGTGAATAGCATCAACAGTACTATATATAAAATAGTCGAGTGCAACTAATGATTAATTTAATGGGATAGCTATAGCCTTAAATCAGAATGTGACAGAAGAAAATTCAGTTTGATAGCTAGCTGTGTTTAGTTTACGTGATCTAAGGTTGCTACTGTAATATTCGACAATAATTTTAAGTATTAAACTATTTAATCCGCTGCATTTGGGAGACAGATTATTGAGTGACCATTTTAGGATACGGATAAAAATAGCAATTTATTAAATAGATCGTTTCAATTTTGGGGCATACAAAATAAAATTTTATTGTTGAAACTCCATTACATTTACTACAACCTTGTCAAAGTATCATTTGTTCAAATTCGTTACTTCTTGTTTTCCTGACTTTAAAAGTAATAAGTATTTATACACGTACAAATATTCTTGAAGCAGTGAATTCCATAGAAAGAGCCTACCAATATTGGGAAATATACTTGCTAATACTGAAATTAAACCTTGATAAAAATTTTCATGATCAGTAACCTTTCCAGATTTAATTACGAAAGGTTAGCAATTTTAGTCCTTTTTCAATATGAGATCAGTAAAAAAGTTGCAAATAAGATATTTCTCAAATCTAGCTTCTTAAAATTACCTCACTTGTGTCATGATTCTAGAATACCGTAAAACGGTACAGACTTTATACAGACCGTGCATAAATCTAGAAAAGTCTCCGATCTCTGTCCCTTCCCAAGGTGATTGCGCAGTANAATACATACAACATCTACTTTGCTGGAGCTTTAGTATTTCATCAGCACAAAGCTACTGATATTTGCTTATATAGTCTACTAAAATGCTATAGCATATTCGTATCTAATTTATATTTATTACGC